GATTTAGTCCGACCGACTTCAAATTTGTGCTGTGCCTTCTAAAGGCATTGAAGATGAAAAGTTGTGCTATTTGCGAGTTTTCGTCAATGGGTGTGTCGTGGCGTGGCGTCAGAGATCAAGTCTTCGCCATGACACAGGAAGTTGTTGTAACTTCAGTGTACATGCTCACATCTGAACCAAACTTTACGTGCTTGATAACTCTCCCACCCCGCTATGGAGGGACCGATCCTGACACAGTCAGAAATAAATACAGAAATAAATAAATGCTCAATAAATAAATAAGCATCCAATTAAATACACAAAAAAATAAAGTAAATAAATAAATGTAGGTAGTAATTAAATTATACAAGGAGACATAAATGTATATATTTTAATTAGTGCCTTTACTTATTCACCTTTGTTATAATTACCTTATTTGTTTATTCAACTTTATTTATTACTAATTTTTTAATGTATTTATTTATGTGTGTGTTTTAATATTTTTGTCTGTTTATTCTTCCTTTGTATTTATTTACCTTATTTTTTCACCCATGGTATTTATTTCTGCCTGTCTTTTTAAATTTTGTATGCATTTCTGCCTCATTATGCAAATGAGGAGGGGCTGTGTCTCAAGGGGTCTCTTCTTGCTATTGGTGGACCAGTCAGACAGGAGAGCTCCTACTCTGCCTGCAGACATCAACGATCTTGCCCCTCACACAGTCAGATGGCTTCCTTCAGTGCGCTGAGGTGTTTAACAACTCTGAAGACAATACTACCAGCAATGTCTTCCTTCTCTTTTCACGTAGAAGCACCGACAGACAGTGCTTTCAGTTTGCTGCATGCATGGACACAGAACTGCGGTATAGGGAGAAGCACACGGTCAGCTGGCTGCAGCTAAATCTGGAGTGCACTCGTATTCAATTCTGTATGGTAAATTCAGTTTTAACGGAGCAGAGCGAGCTGACAGGCAGAGTTAGAGACTTTTTCTGTTGTTTCTCTCTTTACAAAGACGCATGTTGCAGTCAGAGTCTTCTCTGCAAGATGCAGAGCATGCGACATACAACACAATTTATCAAATTACACAACGGATATACAGTATGAAATAAATTGATTGGATTATACTCACAGGAAGTATAAAACTGTTACATGCGTAACACAGTAATGTCAGGGAAATTACTTTACTTAGATTTAAGTACTGCAGTTGTACATTTGAAATACCTTCCTACCTTTCTGATAGGAAGCCTTCTTGAGGTGGTATAAAACATTTCTTCTATATTCTGATTTGAGTTGTGGACAACTATGACCACATGAATTAAAAAAATTAAACATTCACTGCCCAAGTCAGCTATAACACAAGTCTTGTCATTAGACTACTGCTGTACAGTATTTGTGGACAGATTTTGTCCCAGGATTTATTATGCATTTCTTTTCTTCGTTGCATGTTTAGAATAATAAGGTGAGAAATGGGTCTGTTCTGAGATCCTGCACTGCAGCAGCTAATAAAGTCCATTTAATCCCAAAAACGCTTTTCTTTTAGGCAGGCTGGAGCAGAAAACAACTCACCTTTCTCAAGTTGTACAGTAATGTCACATGTGTATGAAGGTGGATCAAACAAGCTAATCTAAATGTCAAAGTAGAGAGGAGCCTAGTAGGCCTATTTATTTTCATTCATTACACAATATGAATAAGCTATGCAGACAGTTGTAAAGAAAGAACATCTTTTCTTCTGTTCTCTACTTGTATAGTTACACAGTATTAGGGGTGTGGGCTGTATTAAAAGTATCCACTGTTCTCCCATGCTCTAACACACAGTAACGATGAAATGTGTGCTGTTCTCACATTCTTCCTCTGTATGTACACATAAACAACAAGGCAGGGAAATATAAAAGGAATTTATTTTATTGTTTGGGTACATTATGTTCAGTGTACATGCTCACATCTGAAACAAACTTTACGTGCTTGATAACTCTCCCACCCCGCAGACATCTACACGTCAATACCGATTTATATTCATAGCGGCAAGTGCTATGTAGCTCCACATAGGGGACACAGGAAGTGACATATAGCACATTCATGCGGGTCGGAACCGCGTAGGAAATTCACAGCCGCACCGGCAGAGCTCCGGAACGTGCAACTCGGCCGGCTCACGCGGACGCGCTACAAGTGCGAGGGCCGCCCAACGCTGCTTGCAGCTTTAATTTTTTTTTTTTCTTTTTTCTGCAAAGTAGGCCCAACTGACATGGCCTAAACATACTCGAAAACTCACCAAAATTTGCAAACATGTCAGAACGTGTGAAAAATTTCGTATTCTACAAGTTTCGCACATGGGCGTTGCAAAATGACTCGCTAGCGCCACCTAGAAAATTGGAAAAAAATTAGCCCTCTCGTTCACGTTCAACCTACATGTACGAAATTTTCTGGGGACATGTATCATGTCAACACGCACAAAAAGCCTCAAGAACCCATAGCCTAAAGTCAACAGGAAGTCGGCCATTTTGAATTTTACGGCCATTTTTGGATGATTTACACTTCGTACTTTAACGAACTCCTCCTAGGGATTTAGTCGGACGACGTCAAATTTCTGCTGTGCCTTCTAAAGGCATTGACGATGAAAAGTTGTGCTATTTGCGCGTTTTCGTCAATGGGCGTGTCCGTGGCGTCGATGATTGCCATGAACAGGAAGTGTTGTAACTTCAGTGTACATGCTCACATCTGGACCAAATGTACATGTAGGATGAGAGTCCCGCCCTGAACAATGTACATGCCGTCATTCACCCACAGTCATAGCGCCACCTGCTGGCAATAGAAAGTGACCTTTAACGAAGCAGCCCCCGCGCATGTTCACCTACGTGTACGAATTTTCTGTGGTACGTGTATCTTGTCCAGAGCACAAAAAAGTCTCTTGGAGCTGCTCAAACCCAACAGGAAGTCGGCCATTTTGAATTTTACGTCAAATTTTGGATGATTTACACACTTCGTACTTAACGAACTCCTCCTAGGGGATTTAGTCGACAACTCAAATTTCTGCTGTGCCTTCTAAAGGCATTGAAGATGAAAAGTTGTGCTATCTGCGAATTTTCGTCAATGGGCGTGTCCGTGGCGTGGCGTCAAAAATCAACTCTTCGCCATGACACAGGAAGTTGTTGTAACTTCAGTGTACATGCTCACATCTGCACCAAACTGTACATGTAGGATGAGAGTCCCGCCCTGAACACATGTACATGCTGACATTCACCCACAGTCGTAGCGCCACCTGCTGGCAACAGGAAGTGACTTTTAACGAAGCAGCCCCCGCCGCATGTTTCACCTACATGCACGAATTTTCTGCGGTACGTGTATCTTCTCCATATGCACAAAAAAGTCTCTTCGAGCCATAGCCTAAACCCAACAGGAAGTCGGCCATCTTGAATTTTAGGGCCATTTTGGATGATTTACACACTTCGTACTTGCTCACATCTGAACCAAACTTTACGTGCTTGATAACTCTCCCACCCCGAAGACATCTACACGCCAATACCGATTTATTCATAGTGGCAAGTGCTATGTAGCTCCACACAGGGGACACAGGAAGTGACATATAGCACCTTCATGCGGCGTCAGAACCGCGTAGCAAATTCACAGCCGCACCGGCAGAGCTCCAGAATGTGCAATTCGGCCAGCTCACATCATGTCAATATGTCTATATGTTTTTGTTGTTGTCTACACTGAATCTGTGTCTGATTTTATTTTATTTTTATATTTTTGTATGAGTAAGCGCTTCGTGAGCAATGTACAATCCTGAGTCAAATTCCTCATATGTGTACACATACCTGGCAATAAAGCTGATTCTGATTCTGATATTATTGCTAACTTGACCAGACGTTGCAGATGTTGCCAATTGTTGCTAACTTCACTGCGAAGCCCTACACGTCCAAAAAGGGGTCTTGACAGTTTTACTGAGGCACAGCACATGGATACAGGTGCATGTGCCCCAGTAAAACGCCTATGATCTACTCAGAATCGGGTTTATTGCCAGGTACATTTTGCCTTGCTATAAGTTGGTGCTTGAAGTACACATGAACATAAATATAAATATATAAAAATATAAAAAGTATACAAAAAATACAATAATACTATAATACAATGCTGACAAGTATGTGCAAAAGTTCACAACATAAGCATAAAGCACAGCTGAGCGTTGTAAAGTGTAGGGGTCTAGAGTGTGTATAAGTGTGTGTGTGTGTTTGGGGAGGGGCATGAGAATCAGTGACAGTGGGGACCCAGGCCTTGTTGAGGAAGCCCACTGCCATCGGAAAGAAACTGTTCTTGTGGCGAGAGGTTTGGTCCTGATGGACCGCAGCCTCCTGCCATGCTAGCGGCTCTGTGATGCTGTATTTTGGCATAGTGTTGTTCTCAGCTTAAATATAATGTAAGCATGCTAACATGCTCACAGTGACAAAGCTAATATTTTGATATTTAGCATTTGATATCTAATGTTCACAGTGTTCACCATCTTAGTTTAGCTTGTTAGCATGCTAATATTTGCTAATTAGCAAAAAAATAAGTAAATTTTACTTATAAATTGTCTCTTCCCTCAGGGTTTTCAACCAAGCCTGATACCTCAGAAGTTGCTGTTTGCCTGACCCAGTGAGTGGAAATGATACACAGCAGTGGAGTGGTACAGTTTGGCATCTTTCACGGCTGATTAGCCACTCGCTATCTTCAAGTGATGATAAATCAGAGACAGCTCACTAAGATTTTTATGTCTGTAGCTGTGCTGATGTTCATTGTTTAATGATCTTGTTTTATGGGGTACACTGAGCATTAACACATTCAATTTGTTAGTCGCTGACACTGTTTTGATTTTAATCGTTGATGAGAGCAATACATTTTGTCTTAGCTCCTGTTCATGAATTGATGTTGTTATTCATTGTCTTGTTTCAAGTTTCAGTTACACTTGCAGACAGTGAATCTGACACCTCTGCCTCAAAAGGGAGTATTAAATACAGATACTATAAACTTGTCCTAAGGTGTGATTATTACCATGTCAATCCCTACATTATGGGTTATATCACCTTTAAGGCCTACAGGACCCTGCAGGCCAGGAGGTCCTGGGTAACCGGGAGCACCATTCCTGCCAGGGTAGCCTGGAGTTCCCATGGAGCCTTTGGGCCCTGGTGGTCCTGGCTCACCCGGGGGTCCCTTCATGCTCTGGCAAGGTTCACACCCAGCTGGGGGATCAGGGTCTGGAGCAGTGCTGGAAGTTGATCTGCAGGGCACAGCCAGAAGGGCTGAGTAATCCGTTACAGTATATTAGAATATTTTGTCACAACTGCTTTCATAAGAGAGTCTGACCACATTCTCACATATAGCTACTGTGTGTGTGCATTTATCATAGAATTGTGTGATCGTAGAGTTCTTATTCTCACTTCTACTTAGTGATTTTCCTGTTACAGTAGGAGTCACAACATTGGAACAGGAAGTCAATCAGAAGCATGTTTGCTGCAAAGACTTTGGGTGCTTTCCACTAAGATGTCTATGAAGATTCTCAGTCATCCAGGTCATAGTTATCCAACGAAGGTTAAAATCAAGGGCAACTGGACTTGGTTGAAGCCAGAGAGAAGGAATAGAACCACCTGAAGGGGGCACTTACAGCCTGTGGATACCCTAAATGGACCTTTGTGAAAACAGCCACAAGATCCAAGAAGAACAAAACTACAGGAGAGGAGGAAAACAACAACAACATTGTGATTCCGTACGTGTCTGGAGTATCAGAGAAACTCAGGAGGATTTTCAACAAACATAACATCCCTGTGTTTTTTAAACCCAAGAACACACTAAGACAGATGCTGGTACACCCCAAACACCGCACACCCAAACACAAGAAAAGCAATCTAGTGTATGCGGTCCAATGCAGTGAGGAATGCACAGACCTGATATTGGGGAGACTAAACAACCACTACACAAACGCATGGCTCAACACAGAAGGGCCAACTCCTCAGGTCAAGACTCTGCAGTCTACTTACATCTGAAGGACAGAGGACACTCGTTTGAGGACCACCAGGTGCACATTTTAGACAGAGAAGATGGATGGTTTGAAAGAGGTGTCAAGGAAGCCATCTACACCAGGGTTGAGAAGCCGTCATTGAACAGGGGAGGGGGTCTACGGCACCACTTATCCCCCACTTACAATGCTGTCCTTTCATCACTTCCCAGGAAACTCAACAAACGTAACCTATTGGCCTCAGGTGAAGATACCAACGTTGGTCGTTCAGTCTTGGCCACAGGTAGTCTTAACGACTGTAACGACTGTCGTCACAGCAACCAGGAACACTAACGAACCAGTGGTATCGATGACCCTGGCCAACGACCCCACTGAGGTTAAATAGCTGAGTTTCCCTGCCAGTCAGTCAGAACTGAAGAAGTTCTTTGGATGAGGGACGAAACGTCTTCCAGTATCTTCAACCAAGTCCAGTTGCCCTTGATTTTAACCTTCGTTGGATACTTTCCACTAATTATTATGTTCCTCCTTTTCTTGGTCCTCCAGCCCCTGACCACAAAACTGATCATGGTCGACCATCATGAAGGATGTTTTGATTAGAGCTACTGGAGCAATAGACAGAATCAGTGTTTAAATCCACAAACACAACATACTGTATTGAGTTTTTGTCAACTTTAGTCAGACAAAGTTATTATTGTAGGGGACTTTAATATTCATGTGGACGTTGAGAATGGCAGCTTCAGTACTGCGTTTATCTCTCTGTTAGATTCCATCGGCTTCTCTCAGAGTGTTCATGAACCGACTCACTGTTTTAACCACGCCCTCGACCTTGTTCTGGTATATGGTATTGAAATTGAACGTTTAATAGCGTTCCCACAGAATCCCTCTTTATCTGACCACTGTTTGATAACTTTGAGTGTGTATTGGTGAACTACACGCCATTGGGCAAAAATTTCTATACAAGATGTCTGTCTGATAGTGCTGTAGCTAAATTTAAGGATGCGATTCCATCAGCTCTAAATACATTATCTAGTCACAAAGTAACAGAGGACTCTGCTAATTTCAGTCCCTCCCAAGTCGTCGTGTTGATAGTGCTGCAGGCTTGCTGCGAATGACACTAGACTCTGTTTCCCCTCTAAAAAGAAAATTATAAACAAAGACGGTTAGCTCCATGGTATACACTGAAACTTGCAAATGAAAGCAAATATCGCAGAAACTTCAGAGGAATTGGCGTTCCATCAAACTGGAAAATTTTCGTTTAATTTGGCAAGATAGTCTTAAAACTTATAGGAAGGCCCTCCGTAATGCCAGAGCAGCGTACTACTCATTATTAATAGAGGAAAATAGGAACACCCCCAAGTTTCTTTTCAGCACTGTAGCCAGGCTGACAGAGAGTCACAGCACTATTGAGCCAAGTATTCCCATAGCTCTCAGTAGTTATGACTTCATGAGCTTCTTTAATGATAAAATTCAAACTATTAGAAACAAAATTCACCAAGACCTGCCCTCAACTGGCACCGACTTATCTCTAAACTCAGGAACCTTAGAAACAGCTGTAAAACCAGATATTTAGACTGCTTTGCTTCCCTCAGTCTTTAGCAACTAACTTCAATAATTTCATCTTCTTCTTCAACCATCAACCTGCCTCTTAGACCCCATCCAACTAGGCTGCTTAAGAAGTTTTACCCTTAGTCAGCACTTCTCTACTAGATATGATCAATACCTTTATTAACAGGCTATGTACCACAGTACTTTAAAGTAGCTGTAATTAAACCTTCTGAAAAAGCCCAACCTTGATCCAGATGTTTTAGCCAACTATAGACCTATATCTAACCTTCCATTTCTCTCTAAGATCCTGGAGAATGCAGTCGCCAAACAGCTATGTGACTTTCTACATAGCAATAGTTTATTTCAGGATTGTCATCATAGCAAAGAGACAGCACTGGTGAAAATTACTAATGACCTCCTTATTGCATCAGACAAAGGACTTGTCTCTGTACTGGTTTTATTAGATCTTAGTGCTGCACTTCATACCATTGACCATCAGATCCTATTACAGAGACTGGAACATTTCATTGGCATTAAAGGACCCGCTCTAAGCTGGTTTAAGTCCTATTTATCAGATCGATTTCAGTTTGTACATGTTAATGATGAATCCTCCATGCATGCCAAAGTTAGTCATGGAGTTCCACAAGGATCTGTGCTCAGACCAATCCTCTTCACTTTATATGCTTCCTTTAGGCAATATTATCAGGAAACACTCCATAAACTTCCATTTTTATGAAGATGATACTCAGTTATATCGATCGATCAAGCCAGATGAAACTCATCAGTTAGCTAAACTTCAAATGTGCCTTCAGGATGTTAAAACCTGGATGACCTATAATTTTCTAATGTTAAAAATGTACAAAACTGAAGTTATTGTTCTAAGGCCCAAGCACCTCCGTGATGCATTATCTAAAGATATAGTTTCCCTGGATGGAATCGCCCTGGCCTCCAGCACCACTGTGAGGAATCTTGGGGTATTGATCAGATGTCGTTTTCACTACGTAATATTGCAAAAATCAGGAACATCCTGTCTAAAAATTATGCAGAAAAACTAGTCCATGCATTTGTTACTTATAGGCTGGATTACGGGAATACCTTATTGTCAGGCTGCTCGAAAAAGTCCATTAAGGCTCTTCAGCTGATCCAGAATGCTGTAGCACGTATTCTGACAAGAACCAGGAAAACAGACCACATTTTCCTGTCTTAGCTTCTCTGCATTGGCTTCCAGTAAAATCCAGAATAGAATTTAAAATCATTCTTCTCACCTACAAAGTTCTTAATGGTCAGGCACCATCTTATCTTAAGAGCTCTACCCCGCCAGAGCACTGCACTTCCAGAATGCAGGGTTACTTGAGGTTCCTGGAGTCTCCAAAAGTAGAAAGGGAGCCAGAGCGTTCAGCTATCAAGCCCCTCTCCTGTGGAACCAGGTTCCAGTTGGGTTCAGGAGGCAGACACCATCTCTACATTTAAAGTAGGCTTAAGACTTTCCTCTTTGATAAAGCTTATAGTTAGGGCTGGCTCAGGTGAGTCCTGAACCATCCCTTAGTTATGCTGCTATAGGCCTAGACTGCCGGGGATTTTCCATGATGCACTGAGCTCCTCTCTCCTCTTCTTTCTCTCCCTCTGTATGCAACCTCATCCCATTAATGCATGTTACTAACTCGACTTCTTCCCTTTTCCGTAATCTTGTGCTTTCTTGTCCCTCTCCTCTCTCCTCCTATCACTTCCTGCAGGTGTTTCTGGCTCTGGAGCTGTGGACTGTTAGCAGCATGTGTGTGTTGGGAAGGAGTTTCAGACTCAGGTTCTCAGCCAAGTAACATAAAACAAGCAAGTACTTACTGCGCAGAACGTCCTCACAGAGCTTTAGAAGATGTTCATCTGAGGGAGGCTTGCCCTGCAACACAGTTACACTTGAGCTGAATCAGCGACTCACGACTGAGTAGCCCTGCAAATTTACATTCTGTCTCCACATAGCCCACCCACACTGACAGCTGCGTCCCCATTACTCCCAACATAAGTCCTCTAGTACAGGCAGAAAATTACTTCCATTTTTCTTTCTTTTGCTAATCCGCTCAGAGATGGTCAGGAGGAGGTTCACTCACAGGTTTCCCCGGATATCCTGGTTGGCCTGGTTGGCCCGGCAACCCGTCCTGGCCAGGAAATCCCCTTTGACCAACAGAACCATGTGGCCCATGTCCCCTTTCTTTCCTTCAGGCCCCCTGGAGCCTACGTCCATGTCACTCCTTTTGAGGGAGCAGGAGTTAGGACAGAACATCTCACATTACAA